CGTTGTAGTAGTCGCAAAGTGCAAAGCGACAACATTAATTATGCTAACAATGTTAATAATTATTTGGTCGTGTCTTCCTCAATCGAAAACATTCAGAGATCCGTAGTAGTTCGAATGCACCAAGTAGTTAGTTTGTACATTCTCGGCTGAAAGGTAGCAGTTCGTTTGTACCATTTGTACTTACTGCCTATTGAATTGATTTCATCTCGGCTCTGTGAGGTACGAAATATTGATGCCTCGCAACTCCGCACATAATCGCTTATTTCATCTTTGTCATTCATTTGCTTTCCATTTTAGTTTAAGCCGGCATATTGAATTGGGAATTTTTACTAGAAGGTTTCAGTAAGTCGGAGAAAATATAACAAAGAAGAAGCTTTATTTCCTAGATTGTAGATACTTATATGTTTTATTTTCCAACGTCGTATGCGTGAAAGACGTGGGTAGATCAGTGGTTTATTAAGAAATTTCTTTAATAGTTTTATTATCCACATTTATTTTATGATGTTGTTCACAAAGAGGTGGAAGCATTGACATTTGATTGTTAGATATTTCGTGTATCATTCTTTAGATTGCCACACCTGGTTTTGAAATGACAAAGATAATGATTACAAACTTATCTAAAGTATTTAATCTGAAATTACCGTTTAAAAATATAGAGTTATCTAAAGATGACATCGGAAAATTAATTTTCAAGTAAAATATAAACTGTAGGCTCATTTTTCTCAAAAATCGTACAGTTCGCTACATGAGTTAATTTTTAATTAATTTGGTATTGAAACAATGTATAAAAGTTGAAGACATATTCTTGTCGACACCAAATGTTTCATTCTTTTTATTCCAATCGATTACTTATCAAATATCCATTATTAAAAAGGATGCCCCATGCTTTTATTACGTTAATACATGACAGAAAAGTGCTTGCCAATCTTCTTATTTTCAGGATGTACACAGCTCGCTTGATCGATGTTTCGTACTATCAATGGTCGCTACTGACCATATGGCAGTCAAGGCCTTTACTCTTCTTCTTTTTATCATCTTCTTCGTCCACGTCGAAGAAACAAACTCGAATCGAATAGACATTTTTATCGCCCGTGTCATTGGAAATGCTTTTTTTCGAACTTGTATCCATTTTAGGTAAATTCTCAGACAATAGACATATAAATATGGCTGACTGTTTGACTATATAGAGCTAGAGTTAAAATTCTACCAGCATCCAGCTCTTTTTTATGACTAAATAACGCTGCTGGGTGTTGTTCGAATTGTTACATTATTTAATTATTTTTTTATATTGAAAAAAGATCTGTAATTGGTAATTTTATTATTGAATTAAACAAGATGGCTCTCGAGGTAATTGAAATGATAATTTTAATCTGTAAAAGAAATTGAACAAATGTTAAGAACGGTTTTTCTGGAAATTATCGAAATTCAATCCGGTAACCTGTTGTTTTCTTTATCTATTTATTATCGCTTTGTTGTTTGTCTCATTTATCAATGAGCGATAGTTCTGACCTGCGTAATTTCTTATCGGTAATAGCCGAATTGAATGTATTGATTGCTCGATAATAGCAGCAATCTTGATATTAAAATCGATTAAAGACATTCTTGGCGTTGAAAGTTTCAAACAAAATGTGCCTTTTTATATTTGAGATAAATATAAAGTTTGAAGAAGAACTGTTAAAAAGTGATATACCTCTATGGAAAATCAATAATCATTAAAGTTGTGGACCATGAAAGAGTGGAGTCTCTGATGGCAAACACAAATCGATAACATAGTAATAGCTCTCACAATTGTCAATAATATAATTGTTGTTTTTTCGCTTGATGGCATGCTTTATGCGTGTTCGGATATTAAAATCTTTTTACAGTTTGAAGTCAAAATAATAAATAAAACAGTTCAGTTTCAGAACGTGCCAGTTGTGATTTAGATTAGAAAAAATTACATATCACCAACTTTGTTTTTTTCATTATAATAATAATTTAAAAAGAAGTTACAGAAATATATCTAGAAGAATAATTAGAAATTCACTAGGTTTGTGCGTCAAAATATTCTCTCCGTGCGTGACAGCAGCGCCAATTCGTTTAGGTACTAATTATTTCTGCGTATACTGAAAAATACAATTTTTAATAGAATTAGTAATTAAAAAATATATATGATAGTTTTAATAAAAGTATATGGATTTGTAAAACAAGTAAAACATTAATTTTTTATTATTATATATTTTTATCGCTTAAATTAAAAAAAAATCAAGTATAATCAGTAAAAATCAATAATAAAATATAGGCAGGCAACAGTATTTACTGGAAAATGTATGAGAAGTTGCCTGAGTCTAATAAATTGTCTTTGAAGAATTAAAAAATGTATAAAAGAAGGATCGTTATTTATATTTTCATTTTTGTTCGAAAGAAAGAGAATGAAAGATTAAAACTGGTTTCCCATCAGTAAGTCACAAAATTGCATTCCAGCCACATACAATAATCAAAGGCAGAAATCTTGAAATCCTAGTCTTGCTTAATGAACATTTAAGAATAAAGGGATGTTAAAAAACATCGTTAAATGATAATTTATTGTTCATTTAAAACCTATCAAGTTTCTGATGTCTACTATTTCCAGTATTACTGTTATTATTACAAAAATAAAGATAATTTTTCTTCTTATCCATTTATTTCTTTGATTTAATTTCCACTTTGTTACTGAAAATTTTTATAATTTTCACTGTTTTTTTTGCTATTTGTACAATGTTCAACACAGCAACTCAAGTTGCTTATTATATTGTTTTTACCTACTTTTTGAAAAAAAGTAAAATGTATACGTGTATTTGATATGCCAAAATTACAAAATATCGCCCTAAAATGCACAAATTAGCGATAGTATTGCTTTTGTTTCCCCTACCATGACTTCGCACTGAGTGAATAGCGAATATTAGACGTTAAACAGTTTGATGTTATTTGTTTTATCAATTGAAGAGTTATTAAATTTGTCATTATAATCAAGAATATACAAATAATACAAAGAATCCAAGTAGGCCACAAAGCATAATATAAATATAAGGACATAATGAGGAGTAAAAAGTAAAATGCGTATATAAAACCGCCATAAGACCAGGGTAGTTATTTTTGAATTCAAAGGAGTGGAAAACCGGCTTTTCCTTTTCACAAAATTTGTATTTTTGTCTCATTCTTCCCTCAAAATTTCTACTCCCTGAGATTCAAGAATAGGTACCTAGTAGTAGGTAATATACGGAGTGACAATATACCTAACTAATAAAAATGAAGAGAGGCTGGAAGTGTTTGAAAGAAAATAGGTCAGGAGTACAGAAAGCTTATGATTATGGAAATAAATGCTATGATGATTAATGTACAAAAAAAGGAAATAAATCAAGAAGATAATAAAATGGCAACCACAGAATAACTGATGTATAGAGGACGACCGAAAATTCGTTGGGAAGACCAAATAATAAAGGGTTTAAATAAGATAGGAATTGAAGAGAGAAGATCATAAACAGGAAGGAATGGAGTATAATAACTGAAGCGGCGACAAAACACGAAAACTTGTACTAGAAAAATGTAAAAGCATGGCACAGTGACTTACCACCAGAGAGCCAAAAGTGCCTCAAAAGCAGCTAGAATTCCGCAAGGAATGTATAGCCACATATAATAATAATAATAACAGATAATAATTATTATTATTATTATTCAACAACAGGAAGTTACAGAAATATATCTAGGAGAATAATAAGAAATCTTGGAGGTTTGTACGTCAAAATGTAGCGAAAATTAGACTTTAAATGGTTTGATGTTGTTTGTTTTATCAATTGAAGGGTTATTAAATTTGTCATTATAAATTAAATACTACCTTGGTAATATAGGCATAATAAAATTGATAATTTATGAGCAATTATTTTAACATCGTAATTTACTTTTATTTACTTCCTAATATTAAATGGAGACAGATAGAAAGTTCAGATAGTTTTACAACTTTATTATCTTTGTTCAGTATTTAAATTAGTAATAAAATTTACGAGGATCCTGGCAAAATGGCATAGATTTTAATAAGAAATATGTTTCTAGTTATTATAATCTATGGTTTTATTATATTCACTCTTGTAGGTATGTTCTGATTTCATATTTATTTTAACGGTATTATGTAACAAAGCTTGTCTTATGGTCTACAACTTCTATTTTTTTATTTCATATTGACAAGTTTTCTCCCAATCACTTTGTTTTTGTACCACTGTCTGATTTATTCATATTGATTTATTCAAAAATATACCATAACAAAAAAACGATAAATACTTATATATACAGTATGTCCCCCTAGGTTGGAATCATAAGGAAAACTCTTTTATTATTAATTTTAGGAAAAAAAGTTATTCTTCATAAAAAGTTCTGCATTATCTAAAACCTAGAATACAGTCATCAAATATCAAATTTTTTCAGTGGTATACGAGGTTTGTCAAAAAATATGAGTTTTACTCAAGAGTAAAATATTCTTTATACGACTGATAATATTTGATATTTGATGGTTGTATTTTAGGTTTTAGACCATGCTCGACTCTTTATAAAGAACAACTTTTTTTCCTAAAATTAGTAATAAAAAAGCTTTCCTATGCCACCAACTGTCTACGTAAATTGGCGGCATATGAAAATCTTTTTTATTATTAATATTGGGAAAAAAGTTATTCTTTACAAAAAGTCGAACATGATCTAAAACCTAAAATACAACCAACAGATATCAAATTTTATCAGTCGTATAAAGAATAACGGTACTTTAATCTTGTGTAAAACTCATATTTTTTGACAAACCTCGTATACCACTGAAAAAATTTGATATTTGATGACTGTATTCTAGGTTTTAGATAATGCAGAACTTTTTATGAAGAATAACTTTTTTCCTAAAATTAATAATAAAAATGTTTTCCATATGATTCCAACCTAGGGGGACATACTGTATAAACAATATTGTAGAATATGTCTCTGATAATGTTTGTATTTTGTTTCAGATGTACCTGTAACGAGGGATATACGGGTCAAAATTGCGAAAGTGAATATATCCCTTGTGAACCTAGTCCTTGTCAGAATGGAGGAGTATGTCGACGAAGGGACAAACATACCTACACCTGTGATTGCCCTTTAGGTAAGTTTTCTTTATTTTATTTGTTTTAAGATCGTCTCTTTCTGGAATTGATTGTATTTTTTATTTTGAGACTCGTGAAAATTATGTTAATGCTAAAAACAAAGCTCATGCGACTTTTACGAATTTATGTCCACCTTGATAAGTATTCAGAGGTTAGGAAATAAAGTATAACAAAATTAACTGTAAATTTCTTACTTAAAATAAACGTGGGTTCTTTATCTAATAGATTTTTGCTTAACCACGCCCTCAAGTGAGGCATCAGAAACCTGCTTTTAATTTTTCATTCAAATTTTTTAAAACGCATAAATGTAAACTTGGCAAATTGTTTACAGTCTTAAATGAGTAACAAGTGGTCAGTTATGGACTATTATTTAAATACCAAATCAAAAGGAGGGTGTTAAATGAAAAACCCACCTGTACTTTTGGTAAGGAATCTACAGTTTACTTTTCTATACTTTATTTCGTAACACCCTGTATATACATTCACAATATATTAGATTGCAAAAGTATATATTCCTAATAAAAAGGATTTCCGTATTTATTAAAATGCAAGATAGAAATGTACCTTCATCAGATAGAACTACGATTTTTTCAATGATGAATTTGAAAGGGACTGGCAGACAACTACAGATGTTACTTCTGAAAATGTGAAGGCTGTAGAACAATTGATATTGATTAAGTCGATTTACATATCATTTACGATATGGCACTGGATCAAGACCCTTCTACTACATTTTAAATGCCACAATGACGAATGTTTTTTTTACTTAGTGGTCGGTCAACTTTTTGAGCTCACAGATGGTTACTGTGTTCGCACCCTTATCCTCCCGATTTAGAGAAATTCTATTATTCATATTATAACAGATAGAGGGTAGATAAAAACATATTATTTAAAAAATAATTATACAGGTTCCAATGAAAGGAAAAAATTCATTATTTCGTAAACCGTAAACCGATTTTCATTTTTAAACAGGCGTTTCGTCACATTACCTTTCTATTTTCGACGTCATCGATAAATTTTTTAAATAGAAATGTGGGTATCTTTTTGTTGCCGCTAAAATCTAAAGAAAGGTACGAAATTACCTACCGAAAATTTATGGATTGGCGACACAAGCATAACGTTAAATCCTTTTTTGAGAATGTTTTAGATGGGCGTAGAAAAAGTATACGTTACACGAGTTTTTCACTTCGTGCGTAATGGGTTACTTACAACTCTTGTTACGTAATATACTATTATGATGTAAGATAGGGATCCTTTTATTAATAGTCTCAGCTAAGTCCAGGAAGTTTCATGTTTACTACCTTTGAAGTATCCTTTTCCAATTATTTTTTGGGCCTCCAAATTTCCAAATAATTTCCTTGAGGACCTCCAATATGATGCTTTTTGACATAATTAAGTACTATTTCTCAATGTGTAATTTTCCTCCTTCTTTGAATGTAAATTGTTCTCTTTATTAGAATATTCTTTAAAATATACTTCCTAATGTTTTATCCCAAGAGACCACTGAAAATGTTTACCGTCATCTGATAACGAAATGAAACATGCCCCAAAAGGATGGAAAAACATTGTACTTTACCAAATGGCACTTGTGCCAATCCAAATCCTGAGCAAAGTGGCTTAAAAAAATTATTTTATATTCAAAAAATCACATAAGGCATGCCAGCGCTAATTTTGTTTGCCCTTAAAGTTTTCCAGAAAATAACATTCAAATATATCTTGATATATATCGTTAAAGGGAAACATTTTCTTCCTTTTAACATCGCACAAAAACATCTATCGACGATTTAGTAGGTAAAAATCATTAAAAATATGAATCAATGTTTGCTGATTTAAAAATTTATCCGTATGCCTATTGTTGTCATTCATTTTTACAGATTGCCATAGAAACGACAAAAAACTACTATGATTATGGTTTAAAATAATTGTCTAACAAGAGTTTATAATTATTATTGACTATCTCTGCAAATGGTTTTTACAATGCCATCCTTTTTCCTTTTATACATAAACATGGTTTAAAAGATAGGTAAAAATATTAATAATTCAGGTTTAAAAGCTAGGTTCACAATGAATTAGGATTGTAATTTTCAGGGAAAACACAATTATCGCTGTCATGTCTTATGTGATTTTTTGAATATAAAATAATTTTTTTAACAACTTTGCTCAGAATATAGGGAGGTGCTTTTGGAGCATATTTCATTTCGATTTCGTTCACATCACATGACGGTCGAAATTTGCAGTGGGCTCTCATACTATTAATTTGTTCATCATCCACCTATTTATTTGGACCTATTTTAATTGTTGTTAACTGAAGAATCCAATTTGGTAAAATATAAATTTTTCTTCTAAAAAATATAAAACTTTTTTTATTTAAAAATAAAGTCACTTTGGAAACAGTATAATATTTTTCTAGTTCCTTCATATCGATAAGAATTTCTTTAAATCAAATTAACAAATAATCTTGAATTTGAATTGAAATACCAACTCTGATTAATCTGATTATTGGGTATTGTACAATATAACATACGATTAGACTAATCAGGCATATATGTCCCGTCGATGTACATATGTCCCACCACTATATAATATGCCAAACATGATAAAAGACATTTTAATATCACTAGAACAAATTGCCTTTTAAGGTACTTGAAAAGAGGTGATCTAACTGAGGCTGGTTTCTATTTGGCCTGGAATATGATCATACCTGAGGTGTGACACACCTTGTAGATCTTTCGTTGGCTGGCTGATGATGCTTGTCTGCTTGATTTTGTAGAATAAGTGACTCAAGATTGTAGTTTCAAATGACACTTTATTTGTCACAAGAAGAAATGGATAGATGTTCAAAATTGTTGATTTATATATTTTAACGTTTATTAATCTCATAAAATATGTACATTTTGGAAGTACTGAGAGATTCGAGGTGTATGCTCGAAACCACAACACCCACCAGAACATCTCGAAAATTCTAGTTGCCAAGGAATAAACTAAAAATACCATTGGTTAGTAGTTATCTATTTAAATATAGACATGTCCTTTCGACCAATCATCTGTGATTCTAATTTCCACGTTATGACAAATTCGATTCGTTAAAGTAAGAAAACTGTATGTGAGTTTGCGTCACTTATTTTTTCTACATTGTATTTTTTGTTTGAAAGATGGATTTCTAAATTATTTTATTTATTTTTACTGTTAGTACTATAGTTAATCTAAAATCTTATTTAGTGTTTAATTTACTTCACAAAAATATGTAATAAGGTTTTTGTAGACGTCAATCCAAAACAGATTTCCTATTTTATTACAATTTTGGAAATACTCAATTTAATAAATTAATAGTGTTTCTTCATTAAACGCATAATATAAACATAAACAGTGATATAATAACATATAAAAGAAAAAAATAATAATTATTCCTCGAGTATAATTATACGAAAAGGTACATTGCATTCTTAATTACATTTTAGGTAGATTACTTAAGGAACCGGTCAAAATGATTATAATATAAAGTTGGTTCGAAATTACAGCGCCGGGCATCTTGAGCGTAGGCAGATTTTAATAGCCCCATATACGTGAATGTCAAGACACTCGGTTCAAGAGTTTCATCATTTGTATGCACACTTTGTTACGGAGAAATTTTAAAAGAAGACAGACATTTTTTGTTAAAAAACGATGAGGTGTATAAAAAATTCATTTTTTTTTAAGTGATTTTACGAAGACTTAAATGCAGAAAGTAAGAATCCCGCCCATAAGTGGGGGTAGATAAAGGCTACAGGCAGAAGGAAGAGTGCCATCCCACTTCGTACTGTCCCGCGCAAATATTATACCTGTTTTTGTCCCAGTTTGTACCGTCTCTCCAAAAATAATTATTGACAGTCCCATTCGTACAGTCACCCTTACATTACCTGGGTTAAGTTGTAAAGTAGAAAGCCGTAGAAGGTAAGGCGATGAGCGCGAGCGACCCAAACGGTGCACAGACTGTCCCGAAGCGACCCAGCTAAGAGATGAATATGACCTGGTTCGCTCTGGACATATTATATCCGCTATGAACTGACAGAAGGGTACCTTCGCGCGCTATGGATACTGTTTGATAATTAAAATTAATCAAATTTGTTTTTAGAATGTTTAAAATAATTTCTGTGAACTGTAGATGAGATACTTGTATTTTTTTGGCAGTTCTGCAGCACTTATGCACCAGCCGCCACTGCTTCCAGCGTATTATTTGAGTAGTACTCATTCTAAATCAGCCATACTCAACCTTTCTCAACATTTCTTTCGGGCCACATTCGTATATGTGCTATGTTACACGGGCCGCAATATTTTTGGATAATGACCTTTTTTTAGGCCATCATCTAATTAATAAAACACAAAACATAAATATATCCCGCTGTGTTACTGCAAAAGTAAGATAACTAATACTTTTAGAGTTTCGATAAAACGTTTAAAACTGAATAAAAAATCAATAAAAGCTTCAAACCGTTTATTAACTTCAATGAAGAAAGTATTGAAAACATTGTTCACAAAGTAGAAACTAATAATCTATCAATAATTGGTAAAAAAAGAGAGAAAAAACGTCACTTAGCTTATTTTAGCTCTAATTCAATATATGTGTCACTATCTTCAGTCGAAGTTTTAATAACATTATTGGATACAGGTAGATTGTGATAATAATGGTGAAATTCATGAGGTGTATCTGATTTTGCAAAATTTTAGTAAATCTTTCTTCTTGCACTTTTTGGTAAGTATTTTCAAAACTTTGTTGCATCCTTTCATGCATCCCTCTGAATAAATACTGTGCGAGTTTGGAATATAAAGCTTAATTCCTCCCTCGCCCATTGATAAATCTATTTTTCTGGTGGAATATATTTAGGATAGCTGAATCTTTCGATACGTTGTCTGTTGTCTATTAGAAAATATGGTTAAAATACAAAATCGCCTGTTACCACTAATAGTTTTATTTACGAATTTTCACAAAAAAGATTCGCTCGTTACGGCTTAACGAATCACT